GAAAGTGATTGCAAAACCATGGTGTAAGATTCAGAGCTCCAGGAAACCAAACACTGTAAGTAAATCAAAATGAAATAATGGCAGAAGTCATTGTATCATATGTCTCTCTGAGCTCAGTGTAAACTTTTGTAAGGGGGGGATGGAAGATCTGTTTGCTGATTTGATTTTATTTCTGATTTGCCTGTAATTAAATTAATTATTCTATATAAATCTCCTTTTCTCTTACCAAATTTTAAGTACTTATAGTTACTCAATAAACACTATGTACACAAAGAAAACCAAACAACAAATGATTTTTTCCATTCCTCTTTCTAAATGCTGCCTTGCTCTGACTATGGTTTCTTGGGCAGGGACTGGCTGTGGATTGGGACTCTACAGCTCCATCCAGAAGGGTAGAGGAGTAGCACAGTGTTGTTGTTTCCTGCGCCCTCCAACAACATTAAACTGTTGCTGCTCAGCACGTCAGCACATTGGCATGTTAGGTGGAAGCAGCTTATTGCAGGGACACAAGGTGTATCATCTTATCTTAAGGTCTGGTCCTTTTTTGACACCTTAGTGTTGCAGTGCCAGGACACTAGAGAATGGAGAGGAGTCAAAACAGATACAAAAAATTGTGGGCATCATGTAGAAGACCAGGGAAAAATAGGGGAACAGCTGGAGGGCCAGTTCAGAAAAGACATTTTTCTTCTTTCACCACCATTTATTTGGAGGATAAAGGAATTCTTCAGCAGTACCACTGACCTGACTCACATCCACATAGCACCCAGTCCTGTAAATTGCTAAACACTGTCAGTTCCCGTTAACAGGAGTTTTCAGGCTAGGGTCCTTGTAACTTACCAGCTCCTCATCAGCTGTGGAAATTCAATTCCTGCGGTTTCATCAAGAGGAAGCTTGAGGAATTATTTTCTGGCAGGGTGTTAGCTCTTGACAAGCCTGGCAACAGTAGTTGCTCTGCTTTTGTGTTTATCTTCTGAAAAGGCATGGGATTATGTGGTTAAGGGAGTTTGCAGCGTCAGTGCATTAGTTTTCCAACCAGTAAATGTAGTACTTAAGTGTTCAAAGATGAGTTTCCTTGGGAACAGACAGCAAAAGATGTAAAAGCCAAAAATCATTTTGATAAGCACATGTCATATTATCTTGGTAGTAAAATGTATGTTGCCTTTTTAGATGGCCTGTGCTTGAACTCCACAAAATACATGATTCTGGATTGGAACTGGAGAGATCAGAAATTAAGGAGAATGATGGATATTCCTGAGGTATTGTATAAGCACCTGTATATTTTATGTTCTGTAGATTCATTACTTTTGATTCTAGTGCCTAGACCTGGTCAGTAAAGTTTTCTTTCTGTAAAGTTGACTTCAGTGGTCTAGAAACACAAAGAAGTACAACATTTGCTTGGTAAGACTGTACTCTCAGATCTCAAAATTACCTCCAGAGAAAGGCTTTTTCCTTTTTTGTTGTCACAGCTGTGACTTCTATTGTTGTCCTGTGAATTTCTCCTGTTAGTTCTGGATGGTTGTTCTACCTGTTTCCAGGAAGTTCTCTCAGTAAGAGGACTTTGTGCAAAGGTTTCCTCAAAAACTAAATAAAACTTTGGAGAAGCATTTGTCTCCATCTAAGAGTAAGATAACTTCTTCTGAGTAAATCTACAGACAGTTGTTTTGTTTTGGTTCGGGGTTTTTTTGGCAAGAAGTGGTGTACAAACTATACAGAACAATCCAAAATTTGTAGACTCCTTTTAAGAGATATTTTCCCCATTCTTTTCAATTCTGCAATACAGCCTTCACATTTGTTGCTGTGACAAGGCATGTTTGCCGTACTCTATGGGGCATCAGCTGGTATCTAGCCGGAGAGTGAAAGAGGCAGATTTGTCCATCAGTCATTGTTCTAAAGCTTCCAATTTCCTTCACAGTGTTTTCGGCTTTTTTTTGCACGTTCAGAGCATGCCGATACACAAAATCTCCAGGGAAAAATGACTTTTTTTGTATGTGGACATTAAGCTGTTTCACAAGTGAAGCAATTTATCAGTCATTAATCCTTCTCTGCACTTGTCTATGTATTTGAATGTACTGTATTTTACAGTCCCACATACACAAAGATACGTGTTCCTAATAATCTCAGATAAATTGCCCCACAAAAAAATACATTGCAGAAATGAAGTAGCAGAAAAACCAGCTTTGCTTTTTAAGGCAAGGAGACTCCCTCTTGTGGTAAATACATATAAGTCTTTTTTGTATGGTGCTTGCACTTATCTGTATGTTTTTTAAAAAACAGGGAGCACAAATTCACAGACATAGCAGTACAATTAGGTCAACTGAACTAAATATTCATACAGTAGACTATAGGTGATCCAACTCAAAAAACTGAAGATTATGTTGCTAATATTTGCTTTTCGGCTATTGCAAACCTGAACTATCCCTTTCAGCTCACTGTAGGTAGCATAACAGAATTTCTGCATGTATGTCTAGGAATAAAGGCCAAAAATTGTGACTCCATATGTATTTTATTAAGGTAAAATCTTAAGGCTATCTTAACATAGAAATAGTAAGGGTTCAAGTTAAAACCAAGTAAGAATGTTGCACCTTTGTATATAGTGTTAGCATAAGAAATAGATATTTATGTGTGATTGTAGAATAGTGAATATGTCATTACCGAAAAGTCTTCAAACCTGCACTTGACACCAGTAACACAACATACAGAAAGAGTTTTGACGTCTTGAGCTATATAAGTGGAGCATCTTGCAGCTATTTTTCGTGCTGCAGACATCAGACAGATTCCTGAAAATCATTTATAAGGGATGTCAGAAATAAGAAAAACCCAAATAATATTTTGAAGATAAGGCATCTCAACACAGTAGAAACAAATGGGATGTTTTGGCAACTTGCAGACTTGAAATATGGAATACAGTCTTAGTGAGCAGAAGATCTTACTTTTCTACTTGTATAAAAACTGTCAAATAGGTGCTATGGATAGTCATAAGTTTTCTCAAAGAAGAGAGGAATCATAGTACAAAAAATGTAATTTAGAGAGTTGGCAGTTTGATTTACTGATTTCTTTCATCCTGTATTAGTTGTGGAGGCAAAATTGTACCCTTGAAATTAGAAACAAGGCATACTGACCTATTTTCAGTGCAAACATTAATTGTCAATTTCCTTGCATATTTAAGGTGCTGCACTGCTAAATTTCACTGTAATTACACCAGAAGGCAAAACCAGCTGCAAGCACATGTCCATTCTTCTTTCTGGTTTTGTATTCACCTGATGTTCAGTGGAGAATTATGTACACAGTAGTATATTCTGATAAATATATGAATTAAAACCACTTGAATCTTCCCACATGACAGTCCTGTATCCCATCATATCCACATAATGGATGGTGCCCTGATCCACTGCTCTCTCGGTTACCTCAAAATCTCATTAGTTAATGCTGCTGGATTTTTTTTTTTTTCTCTGTTTCTGTGTCTCCCACTTCATTCATCCCAAACAATGGAGAGAAGGAAATAAAAAGAAAACTCACAAAGAAACCAGAGGAGGGGTGAATAAGTTTATCAGACTCTGTCATGGCACACTGGAGTTATACTAAAGCGTAAATTAAATTTTATTGTGTACTTTATGATCTGACCAAATGACAAGCTTCCTGCTTTGAAGGCTTTGTGTATAGAGGTTGATAGCAATCCAGAGCTGTCTCAACTCCTCAGATTTCTTCTTTGTAAGATTCATATGGAGTTTTTTCAACAAAAAACAATATTGTGTTTCCTGCAAACAGTACAAACACTGAGCCTCAAGTAAGTTTGAAAATACAGAAAGTTGAAGTTTCGGGCTTCATGAAAGTAAAAAGATTTGTAAGAAATGGACTTGCGATAGAAAGACAACTGTTTTACACCCTCACGTAGCACATCCAGTGTGGAATCGAGATTGGTCAGGCTTTCTCACATCATTTATTTCTGTGCAAAGTGGAGGCACAGAAGGATATAATCCTGATAGGAAACTTGCAAATAAGTTATTTGTAAGTGGGGAGAGAGAGCATAAGGAGACTCTGGACTAACCATGATGATAGAGAATCTTGTGTTCCTGCTGAAATATGTGGTCAATATTTACTCTCGAATACATTTGTCCTTTATCTTTAGATAAGGAATATACTACAGCCATATCCGTGTTATAAACCAAAGTACTTTGCATGCAGCACATGTAGACCTGACCTTCGTGCTCTCTGCCATTCGGCTGTCTCAGACACAGGCAGCGCTGCGGCTGTTGCAGTGCAGGGCTGCTCTTGTACTACTTGATACCAGTTGATATTTTGGAAAGTCCCATACAGATTTTGCAGCCTGGGATGGGCCTCTTGCTGTGGCATGTTTTATCAATTCTGTACCAATGACAACTTTTCTGTACCCATGTTAAATGGGACTTCATGAGCCGTAGTTGTACTTCAGGATTACAGAACAAATGATATGTATTTTACAAAATGGAAACATTTTAGAGCTTGGGACCTTGTATGGGAACCTCTTCTTTAATTTCTAGTCCTATAGTAAGGTGCCTGAGTAAATAAATAATGATATTTAACCAAAGCATTGATTTTTATCAATGATACTTTATTTGATACTTTGATTCTTGTTTTCTTCAGATAAAGAAAGAAACAATTGACCTGCTGGAGATGAGTATAATCAAGCTGTGCAGAGAGGGGTCTGTGAAGCTGGGACTCTTTTAATGGATTTACCAACAGGGAAGTAATTTATGGCTGCATTTTACTGTTATCTTGTCTGCAACTGGCAAATGATCAACAGGTGATGGAATCAAGAATTTTTACTTTCCAGAGGTCTGTCAATACAGAAAGAATGCACATTGAAACCTTTTCTGAGTTTCTTTTAATAATAAAACAGAAGTTTTGTTTGTAGTTTTGGTATGATTTTTATTGCAGGAACAGTGTGATACTGAAATTATCACAGTTATATTGCATTTTTATATGCAATTCATTTTTACATGCACAGTTATATTGCATTCACCTGCTAGGTTTACTACTATATGTCACTTTTAAGACTTTGAAGATGAGCAAACTTGGGTGTGAAAGTCTGTGTACAACTCAATTTTCTGTTATCTTCCTCTCCTCTCTCAAAGGAGACTTTTACTTCTCTCACAAGAGTCACAAGTAGTTCTTGCCCTCGAGGGTCTTTGAAAAAGTTGTATGAATTTCAGTAATTTGTCAAAAAACTATTTTTCATCTATCTGTTCTAGAACTGGCCAAATGCAGTTTTTTGCTATTACATTATAAATTATCTGTACATTACATTGAGACTTTATTTTGGTTAAACTGTTGAAGTGTGCAAAAAATATTCTTCTGTTTGTCCATTTAAATTAAAAGGAGATGATCTCTGGGTGATTCTTATGTCATTGTGGATAATGGGGAATGGATGGATTTTTTTCAGGGGACAAGATGAAATTGAGGTGAGCAAAATTATCAGTATCTTAGAAAGCCATTGATCCAAATCAGCTGTTTTGAGAATGAGTCGCCTTTTTGTGATAAAGAACACCTAACCTTTTTACAACTTTAAAGTGCATCTGAGTCAGTAGCAATTAATGTAGTAGGTTAAGAAAATTGATTTGGTCTTCCAAAGCAATGTTTTCTGTCCAGTGCTGTCTCAGCACCTGCAGTCCTCCCCCAATGGCATCCAGTGCAATTGGAGTGGAGTTCCTTTCATTGTATGCCATGCCCGTTAACTTGACAGCTATGGAAGCGCAAGGAGAAGAAATAATGCATTTGAGATTACACAGAAATTCCAGTATAGTTGGCAATATCCCTGCAAATGAATAAGACAGAACATATCCTACTGAATTGTGGGGTAGGCAAAAGCATGTATTTAAGCTTTTCCAGGAAGCATAAGCTTGACACCCTGACCAAAGTACACAATTGTTTGATTGGTACAAGCTGATCATGGGGATCCAGGCACAAATGTAGAAAATGAGGAAGAGTGAGATCTAGTTAATAAGTAATTCCTAGCCATAATGCAGGTTTGAACAAACAATGCAGTCTCCCAACAGTAAGGACAGAATCTCAGCTTAAACACTCTCCAGCACAAGTATATTACTCCTTTTTGTCACCAAGAAGAAAATGAAAAAGAAGAAGAGTTTTGATCTGCAAGATGGAGAGGGACGTCCTTCCAGATGTCCAGATAACAGTGCATTCAAGCAACAGAAGCTACCAGCTTGGAAGCCCCAGCTTACCATTGCAACTGTACTCTCCAGCTTCTTTCTCACAGGAGCATTCTGCCTTTCTGTGGGAGTCTGCCTCATATTGTCTGCAAACAGCGTCAGAGAAATCCAGGTTTATTTGGAGATGGTCTTCTTAGATATTGTATGAAGAAGAAACTAGGCTGTGTTTGGAGGGAAAAGGCTTTGAATTTTTGCTTCCGGATAAAGATGACAGCAATGGCTTCATGCCTTGGACATGTGTCCAGCAGCCAGTATTCCTGTGAAAATCCTCAGAGATAGTTGGTCACCGATAAAATCCAACCACTGGGTGGTAATATCTGAAATATGGGTGGTAATTACTGCTGCTGGCTGGTAATATCTGACGTCATTATTTCCCGTGGTTTTGAAGGGAAATAAACAAATCCCTTTGATAGTGTTCAGTACTAGAAGAACATGCATGTTTGCTGAGGCAAAATCTCAAAATGCAGGGAGCCCTGATGTTTAAATGCCTTCTGGAGGCAAGGCTGGTTAGACTTGTGGTGGTTTTAATAGAGTCCTGGTTGGAGTCAACGCTCAGCACTACACCCAGGCTGTTCAAGGGGGGTAGGCCATAATGCATGTGGGGATTTGGCAGGCATTACTTGGTCAGCCAGGCCAAGCTGCCCAAGTGTTCTTCACTTAGCTCTCCTTTGCAAAGGAGCAGGTGTGGAGGTTCTGCAACAGTCATCAGAAGGCTCTAAAACAGCTTTAAACTAGGGATAAAATTTATGAATGTTTATTGAGGCCAAGTCCTGATTCTCTGCCTCTGTCAATTTTTAACAATGTTTTTGACAGTCACTTACAAGAGAACTGCTCTGAGAAGTCTCGGAGTTAAAACACTAATCTTTTCCTATATGCATGTCCTTTATTACAGTATCTCTGTTTGCTTCTTTGACAGATTGATTATTCAGATAAATGCTCAGATTGTTCAAAACTCCGTGAAAATTCCTCTAATTGGAATAAGGAATGCCACTGTTCTGTTAATTTCACGATAAAGGAAGATATATTGGTAAGAAACCAACTGAAGTTGCTTAATACCTCCTGTTACTTATAACCTTATATGATAAAATATACTAATTCTGTTCTGTAGAGCTCCTGACTGACTTTTCCTTGTACTTTTTAAAAACATGAAATACTCAGAATTTTACACTTTTGCCTTTACCATTCAGCCATTTATTTTGGTACATGTTAAAACTACTTAGGATCAGACTACCTCTGTCCTTGTTTGGGAGATGTCCAAGGAGAAGACAGGGATGGAGGAAATGGTCTTAGATTTTGGAGGTGACTTCTCTCTGTAGCTCTTTCTTTAAGTCAGTAACAAACCCTTGCCCTTGGCCTGGGGTTAGTTGTTATTGCACTGCTAAGCTCACAAATGAGGAGGAAATCTGAAGCTCTGACCGCTTGTCATAAGTAAACCCCTGTAGTCTTTTTTATGAGGGTTACACTGCTACTCCCCAAGGTCCTTGAAATAATTCAAGTCTAGCAATGTCATTCTGCAGTTTCATTTGGGAAAATTATCCTTCATTTCCTGTCCTAAAGTACTGAGTCATGTTGCTGAGACTGTTAAAAGGCTTCACATTCCTCCAAAGACATCTTATGCTTAGTACTGCATAAATGATCCCTTAAAATTATGGTGCAATTTAAATTATAAAGTCACTTTAGGGTTCTTCAATATTGAAGAGGCTGTTAAAATACTCTGTAATTCTTCAGATTACAGTAATGTTTGAGATGAGAAGTTTAATGGAATAATGGTTTTTTTATAGTTTAATAATCCTCTTCCTTGCTTATATTTTCCTGCCTAGCATTCTCCTTTTAATTACAGGACTAAACTGTCCAAAGGGTTCAAATAATTGATGAGAGGAAGCCTTATTTTTCAAAAAATTGGAAAGAATTAAGAGCTAATGGGTACTTTTTGAAGTTTGTTGTGCACCTTCTTTTATGGAAAATGAGTGTCTGTCTCCACAAAATTATTCGTAGACATTGCAGGTTCATGACCAGCTGTGCCATCTTGAGTAAAAGAATAATCAGGCATTTTTATTTTGGGTCATTTGGTGATTTAAAGTATGTTTAATTTTGTGCCAAAATACTCAAACTTTTAGTCAGGATAAAGACTAGATTCTGGCCAGTGTCCACTGAAGTAATTGCATAGTGTAGTTACCAACACTTAAATATGAACTGAGTACTCTTTTCCCCTCTCTTTTTTAGCAAGTAATAGGATTTCTCTTTGTCTACATGAACTCACCTTATTGAAGGGATTTATCCTTGAATTCTAGGGTGATGTTTTTATGTACTATGGCTTGCAAAACTTCTATCAAAACCACCGTCGATATGTGATATCAAGAAGTGACGCACAACTGTTGGGTCGAAATGTAAATGTAAGTTTTCTTCTTTATATTATGAGATCATTGGTATTTCCACCGGATGCATCTTTGACCATATGGAGAGCTAACTAGGCATAACTGTAAGTGTGTTAAGGTGGCTCTAGGGAATAATAAGAAGAAACAGATTTTCAGTGTTTGGTCTCTGCTTTTATGATTGTTAGGGCCCTTATGTCTAATAAGTTAATAAGAGAAGAAGACTGAGGGGATAAATAAAAGATCTCAGTCCAGTGTTGCAATTCTCAAACCTGCACCTTGTAGGAATGATGATTAAAAACGTGTAGTCTTTTTCAAATAAATTTACAGAAAGCTTTTCCTTATAGCGTTTTCAGTCTTCTTAGCCATAAATATTTTAAGTTGTGCTTTTATTATAGGGTTAGGGAATTAAGTTATTCTAAGTCTTTCATTTTGCCATCTGGCTTTGAAAGTGGAGAAGGAGCAGGAAAAGGTTTATGGTGAAATAGGTGATCATGTAGCATCTTAAGTATGCAATTTAGAGTTCTAAAGAGGAGGCTAGACAGCATCACCAGCAGCAGGCCTGCGTAAGGAAATTGGAGAATGCAATCCTTGCATTCAATTTTTTTACTTACAAATCTAAACCTTGTATTCTTTGGCTTGAACGTAGCATTTTTTAATATACACGCAGTCCACACACTGTCCTCTCAATACATATGATGATTATGCCATAATCTGTCATTTCTATAAAATGCTTCTTTTAATTCTCAAGATGTGTTCCCCATACATCTGCTTCTCCAGGTGTCCAGTCAGCTTGTTTCTTTGCATCCGGGTGCAACTGCTTTTGTGCCAATCAGCTACACAGCCTGTTAGAGTATTTGAAAATGTTTCTGTGTTTAAACCTGGAGATGTATAGTTTCTCATGAACTGGGATAGGAGAGATGTGATAAATTGGAGACAGGCTTTTGTTTTTCATGATGTGTCTTCATACATCAAGATTTTCCCACACAGAACTGCAGTGATGCGGCTAACTGCATCTGCTTTTCTCCACCACTGAAGTAGTTCAGGTCAGAATTAAAAAGGAAGAAACATAAGATGTTCTAGGGTAAGCCAAGGCTTCACTGGGACATTTTAAATTGTAACTATGTTACAATGGCAGATCCCCTGTCATGGTTTGATCCTGGTCAGCAGCCAACCACCACACAGCCACTCTCTCTCCCTTCTCTTCCAGCAATAAGAAGGGACAGAGAGCCAGGCTTGGGGTTCAAGATAGGACTGGAATGGGGAAAAAATCCCCCTTTATGGTCACGAGCAAAAGGCAGACTCATTAGGGGAAGAAAAAAAGAACATAGATTTATTATAGACACTAACAACACGTAACAGAGTAGGACAGTGAGAAGCATTGCCACATCTTGAGAACACCTTCCCTCCACCCCTCCCTTCTTCCCAGGCTCAGCTCTGCTCCCGATATCTCTACCTCCTCCCCCAGTGGCGCAGGGGCAGGGAATGGGGGGTGCAGTCAGTGCTGCCACTTTCTTCATCTTCAGTGGGGGGAGCTTCTGGAACTTCTTCCCCCTGCTCCAGTGTGGTCCCCCTCTCACAGGAGACAGTCCTCCACAAACTTTATCCGACGTGAGTCCCTCCCACGGGCTGCAGTGTTCCCCACACTGCTCTGGTGTGGGACACCCCCACATGCTGCAGTCCTCCCAGCACTGAATTACAGCAGTGGCTTTACCTTTTCCCACAAGTCCCCGGCCTTCTTTGGGCACAGACACTTTGATCATCCATGTGAAAAACACAGGCCATAAATCAGTGTCTGCTCCACCGTAGATCTCCATGGGTGGCAGGGGGGGCCGCCCTGCCATCTCCCTACAGGATCCAGGGGGGTCTCTGCTCCGGCACACCTCCCCCCTCCTTTCTTCCTCCGTTCCTCCACTGACCTTGGTGTTCACGCAGCTGCAGCAACTCCTCCTCACAAGTCCCACTGCCCGTCACCACGTCCCTTCTTAAATACGTTATCGCGGAGGCGCAGCCGATTGGCTCAGTTTTGGTGCAGAGGTGGAGCTGACTTGGAGCTGGGGGAGTTTCAAGAAGCTTCTCACAGGCGGCCACCCCTACAGCCCCCTCCCCTGCTACCAAAAACCCCATCACTCACTCAGACCCAGGACATCCCCAGATGAGTTTTTATAGGCTGGAGTGTGCAAGTCTGCAGCAGAATTTGGTGAAGACCTTAGGTTTAATTACTGTGATATGAAAGTTGTTCCTCAACTACAAACCCATTCATTTGAATGTATCTCTAATGTGACTGAAAAGTACCGCAGACTTAATTTTCAGTGGCTTTTCTGAAGAAGGAACAGGAGGAGAACATTAACACCAGTAGAGCAAAACAAACCCCCCAAAGTTCTGTGACTGATTGTTCTGTGACCTTGAACGCAGATTCAGAAGAGCTACTGTGTGCCCTTTACCACCTACTGAAACGGGACACCCATGGCTCCATGTGGTGCTATTGCCAACAGCATGTTCAATGGTAAGTAGGTACCTTCCACATCTGCCTTACTAATTTCATCTTGAAACTATGCTGTTACCTCAATCCAGCTGAGTCCTGATATTGCAAGATCTCTGCCTTTCTCCCACAGAAGGTTTTGTTTGGCAGTGCTACCTACTTTTTAATAACTTGCCTCTCATTTTGAAACTGAGAAAGATTTTTCATTTACTGAGGCCCTCTTCAGTGTGAATATACAGCAGGACTGAGGAATTGAGTCCCTGGTGAAATAAGGAACAATGATAGAACAGTTTTAGTGTACTTCCGTGCTAAAAAATATGTTCTTGTACAGTGGTAGGAAAGCCCGGATTTTGCCTTCCCACAGTGGTGTGCTTAGAAGAAGGTGACATGTTCTTCACGTTAGTTTGGACCTTTGGGTCTGTGTGGTTGCATGTTGTTCTTCGAATGCTGGAAGCACACATAGTCTTACTCAATTTAATCCCAGTCTTGATCTTGTTTGTAGTAACCTATGGGGCATAATGTGCCTATGAGTACATTTAGGCTGAAATCTAGAGGGCTCCTATCCATGAACGCTGACAGATTTCAGAATGGATTTGCTTGGGACGAAAGGAGACAAAAGATTTCTTCAGACTTTTCTCCCCTACCCCATCCTTTTTGTCTGCCCTCCCCACCCCCCTTTTTTAACTTGTTCCATGCAGCAGTTTTTGGCAATGCAGCAGCTGTTTTCAAGCAGGTAAGCCACCCACACCAGAGGACTTGTGAAGGGCAATAACTTCTAGATCCGCTTGACTTTAATCTGCCTGTGCACCCACCTGCTCCCCTGGAAGTCTGATTTACTGGACTGAGCTCAGACCTAGGCCAGCAGAGCTACCTGTGTGCAGCCCACACTGTTCAGGAGACCTGGCTGCAGGACAGAATGCTCCTGCAGAGAAGTAAGGATAGTAAGATTTTAAAACAGTGAGGGTAAACCTCCCACGTCTGCCTTTGCATCTGTCATTAGTACACCGTGTGGGGGAAGCTTCCAGCTGCTGGCGATACGGAGGAGGGGAGTGATGTCTGAATCCTCTCCCTGGTAGCTCATTTCTGTCCCTCTGCTGTGAAGAAGGTGCTTCCCATTCACTTTTGACAGTTCAGCTGGCTGTCTAATTGCTCTCTAATCTTGTTTGGTAAAATGAGGAAGATGACCATGTTCCTGCCACAGGAAAGGTTTTTAATCCAAAGGAGCAGTCAGACAAGCAGTTAAGCAGGCAGAGCTCAGAGAATTGCAACTCCTGTTAAACTTGTGACAGACAGCTGGGGGGGCAGTGGGGCACAGAACGATCACTTACTCAGAAGAGTGTGTCAGAGCCTTAAGGAGCTGTGTGAACACAGGTTTTGTAGCAGGATAAAAAGAAAAAAAAAAAAGTCTTCATTGATGCTCATGCAAGTTGAGTTGCATTTTTCATGTTTCCTAAAAAGCACCCCCCCCCATCTATATCATCTAACTATCCTTGCCCATCATCTCATTGGCTGCCTAGGTGTTTACACAGATGTTAACAAGACCTATAATGTTTTTGCCTTATGTTAAACTAATCTAAGTAGGAAAATAAAATTGATAAAAACAAGTGCTTTTTGCCCACTGAAACAGGATGGCATAGTTAAGCACAATTTTAACTAAAAGTTTTTTGATTGAAGGAAGTGTTCATGTCCAAGTTGGTAGGCACAGTCTAATTAGCATAAAACTAAGAATTTTCTCGGAATGATCATGGATTCCTTTGATTGTGCTTTCACCTCTCCCTTGTTCCCTGAAAACACATGTTATATATAGTAAAGCAATCAGTTTATGACAACTGTCAAAGAAATTCTAGGGAAAACTAGCTAGGAGAGTAACTTCCTTAACTAGCTAGAGAACTCCAAAAGCGATTTGCAAAGAAGTTAGTTGTGCAGGAGTTGATGGACATGAGATACTCACACATATTTCTACACAGGGATTCAGCAGGGTTATTGGTAGGAGTATGTTCAGTCTTTAAAACTTCAGAAGTTCTAAGGCTCTGGAACCTTAATTCTTCTTGTGGAATCTACAGTGCTCTGTACACAGTCATGATGAAACCTTTCCCAGGATGTTTTGTTTTCTATTCACTTGAAAGATGCTTCAATATGTGACAGTTTTGTTAATCATGCTGACAGTTAGAATCACTGTCTTTTACTCATGTGTATTGCTTCTTGTATTCCCTGCAGATACTATTGATCTTTTTTACAATCTTAACTCATCTGTTATTCAAGTACCAGTGCTGAAGACTGGAAACAGTTGGTGGACAGATAAAAATGTGAAATTTCGCAATCCGAATTCATACAATCTTTCTTCTGCATTTGCAGGTAAGAATGGTCCCCCTGGTATTTCTTATTTTTCAATGGCTTCCATACCCTCCCCCCCCTGCCCTGCCCTGTGTGAGGGTCTCCCATTCTGAGACAAATTGCCTTTGGGAGAAATACTTCCCAAAGCAGGTTGGAAAAGCAATTTTAGAGGGTGACTGAGAGCAGAAGACAGATTTAGCCAAAATATCAGGGAGGTTTTTTGTTGGTGTTTTTGGTTTTGGTTTTGGTTTTGTTTTTTTTTTTTCTAATTACTGGCCATAGAAATTGGGAGAAAGTAGTTTTGGAATACTGAAGTTAGACCACATCAGCACCCTTCTGTATAGTTTCTTATAACACTTAATCTGTCCAGAGAACGCAAGGATGCAGTCACTTTATTTTCTTCTGTTGAAAACATCTATGAAGGAGAATTGCATGTCATGTCTTTCCTTCTTCATGCCTTTGCAGCTTCTTAGGTAGTTGTGAGACAAGTGAGGCTGCCATCATCCCTTTCAACGAGCTGTTTCCTAGGCTGTTTCCTTGTTATGATTGATCTGTATTGAAGTGGGACTAAAAGCTCCTTATTCTGGATCAGGACAATGCTGTCCGGGATGCAATATGCAGGAGCTAATTATCTAAGTAATTTTCCTATGACAGATTCTAAATATCATAGACTGTGCCGTTAGACTGCAAAAAGGTACCTTTCTGGTTGTACAGGAATAAATTAATGTGTTAAAATGAAGGCAAGCTCCTCATAGAGAGCATGTTGCTTGCTGAAGAGGCAAGAGTCCAGAATAAACAGTATTTTCATTTGTGCAAGTCACTTTGTTTTTCCTGTGCTTGAAGTTTATAATGTGTAGCAACTTCTGGGTACTGTTAAACTCAGTTCATTCATGTTTGAGGTAAGTGGAGATGCTTGGGTGAAAAGTGTTATCTAGCATATATAATTTTTTGATCTTGAACAGAGTCTTGTGTCTCTTTCATATCTCATATTCTGTGTTGGTAGTGAGTAGGCCCAGAACTTAGTCACCAACTACTGTTTTTACTGACAGTATATCTTTCCTGGTTTCTTTCTTTATCATCAGGGACAGCAAGACCTCCTTACTGGCATAAACCAGTGTATTTGTTAGACGAGGAAGATGAAAGGAACAACGGTTATATAAATGATGACTTCATTATCTGGATGCGAGTGTCAGCATTTGCTACATTCAGAAATCTTTACCGTCGGGTCAGACGGATAAGGCAGTTTGCAGATGGCCTCCCAGCAGGGAATTACAGTTTTCATATTTCCTATAGTATCCTTTCATATTGTCCAAGACTATTAGATAGTTACAATGAGATGGAAGTGTATGGGATTTGTATAGCGTCGTGGTTTGAGCCTGGTTGGCAGCCGACCACCACGCAGCCACTCACTTCTCCTTTCTCTTCCAATGATGAGAGGGGAAAAATGAGCCTATGTTTCATGCAGAATGATGACAGATATGGGGGTCCCTAAAGACAGAATTGTTAATGCTCTGTGGGAGCATATTGTTCCATCAAGCAAAGGGCCCTTAACAACGATTGCAAGTTGTTGTGGTTTGAGCTCGGAGGACAACTGAGCACCACACAGTGGCTTATTCCACGCTTGCCCCCCGCAGTGATTGAAGGGGAAAATAAGTCAGGCTTGGGATTCAACATAGGACAGGGAGGGGCAAATCACCCATTATGGTCATGGGCAAAAGCAGACTTGTTAGGGGAAGAAAAAAAAAGAACATAGATTTATTACAGACACTAACAACACTACTTAACAGAGTAGGACAGAGAGAAGCATTACCACATGTTGAGAACACCTTCCCCCCACCCCTCCCTTCTTCCCGGGCTCAGGTCTGCTCCCGATATCTCTACCTCCTCCCCCAGTGGCGCAGGGGCAGGGAATGGGGGGGTGCAGTCAGTGCTGCTGTTTCTTCCATCTTCAGTGGGGGGGGCTTCTGGAACTTCTTCCCCCTGCTCCATCATGGTTCCCCTCTCACAGGAGAGAGTCCTCCACAAATTTTCTCCGATGTGAGTCCCTCCCACGGGCAGCAGCATTTCCTTACACTGCTCCAGTGTGGGACACCACCTTTCTCCAACTGGATTCCCTCCCACGGCTCCAGCCCTTCCCGAGCTGCTCCGGTGTGGGACACCCCCGCATGCTGCAATCCTCCCAGCGCTGAACTACAGCAGTGGGGCTACCTTTTCCCACAAGTCCCTGGCCTTCTTCAGGCACAGACACCTTGATCATCCATGTGAAAAACACAGGCCATAAATCAATGTCTGCTCCACTGTAGATCTTCATGGGTGGCAGGGGGGGCCGCCCTGCCGTCTCCCCACAGGATACAGGAGGGTCTCTGCTCCAGCACACCTCCCCCCTCCTTTCTTCCTCCGTTCCTCCACTGACCTTGGTGTTCACGCAGCTGCAGCAACTCTTCCTCACAAGTCCCACTGCCCGTCACCACGTCCCTTCTTAAATACGTTATTGCAGAGGCGCAGCTGATTGGCTCAGTTTTGGTGCAGAGGTGGAGCTGACTTGGATCTGGGGGAACTTCGAGAAGCTTCTCACAGGCGGCCATCCCTATAGCCCCCTCCCCTGCTACCAAAAAACCCCACCACTCACTCAGACCCAGCACATATAGTAAAAGAAATCAAGCAAAACACCCCAAACAAAATCACCATGAAAAGACCTAGTTTTGAGGGTGATGAGACACTACAAGTAGATTTTCTTTAGCCTATGCAGGTGGAGTTAAAGACGTTGTTACTCAAATAGCAGCATGTGACGTTGGATTTGACTTCTGAGGGGGCTACTTTTGGCTGGAGACAGCACACAGGAACTTTACATAAGCGGTAAAACTGAAGAGTGGGAACCTGAAGAGGTAGCTGAAGATGTTGTTTTAGCTGAAATATTTAACAGTGGCCTAATCAGATGTGTAGACAGCCTTACTGGGGCACACAAAGCATGAGAGGTATCCCTGTGGTTGAGAGCTGTGCGAGGTGCCTGTGTCAGCAGAGCCCTCGGGCGGATTTGGGCCACGTGCTGACAGGAACTTTTCTGCTGGTGAAAATGCACTCTTGCACTGAACAGAGTAAATTTTGCTGACTAAAGCAGTTGTTCTGTCAGCAGGAGTTGTATCTAGATGACTGTAAATTCCTCTTCTCTCTCATCCAATAGAGCTATGATTTTAAATGCTGTTGCACAGTTCTATTCTGAAAGCATCCACATGGAGAGATGAAAGGTAAAATCATAGAACATCTGGGTAGACAACATATTGGGTAGAGGTGAGTACTTCCCCTCAGTGAGAATGTGTGGAGTATCGTCATGATAAGCTGCCTAAAGGGCTTGTTTTCAACTGAGTTTTCATAACAAACGAATGCAGTAGCAGATACATAAATTATGACTTTGAAATTTATAATTTAAAAAAAAAAGTATTTCCGTGTTCACACAGAGACTGTATCTAAAATAACTGGATTTCTTACCACCAGCTGCTACTGGGTTTTGGGGCCCAGAATAGCAGAGACATCACAGATCAGTTGAAGGAATTTTTGCAGCAAATGCAGATCTCCAGACTCTTTATGCCTTGAAAAGGTTTTTGAACATAAGGCAATAACATAAACTTTGTTAGTGAAACCTTAACAGCCTTCTATCAGATTTCCCTGTTACCAAATTCAAGGGGAGGAAGCATGTGATTCTTTCAACCATGGTATGGAGCGGAGGAAGTAACCCATTCTTGGGAATCGCTTACGTGGTTTCTGGCACAGCAGCAATCCTGACAGGTTTTGTCATAACTGCCATCCACCTAAAGCTCAGAAAAAAGAAAACATACTTTCAGAAGTCATAAGGTTCCCTGGCTTTCTGAACAAAGGCAAAGGTATGCTCTGAACGAAGAACATGCAGCACAGACCTTTCATTCTTTCCCAAGCTCTGGATCTGTTTCAGTAACAGGTTGGTGATTGTAACCAAATTGAGGGTCGTGCTATTCCATCATCCAAAACCAAACTTACCTGAAGCTGCACACTTATTAATGTATGTGCACTCCTGAATTTGTTTCCTAGGAAACTTGTGAGATGAGCTTCAAACAACAGACAGTGTAACAGATTAGAATTGCAACGGCAGAGAAATTATATGGTGCTAATGTCTGGCCAGAAGTAAGGGTCCATATCAATTTTTTACTCAGCCCTTCATTCAGACAATATTTCTCTTCACTTAAATGGAGCTTTGGACGGGTGAAAAGTGAGGTCTTGATCCAACAAACAGCTTGAGCAAGTAGCACTTGGTGCTAAAATCTGTTTATGGGCCACATGTGTGGGCTGAATGTCTTGGCTTAGGTTTTATATACCTTTTTCAGTTATCCTGAAAAAGCAACCAATTTAGTGCAGCATATTCATCACAGTTTGATACTCAATTGATGATTGAATACAGGGCATTTTTTAGGAGTTTAGAGTTTGGTTAAACCCAATTTATTGTTTTTATCTAGGTATTGAGATTAACCTGCAAAGCTAGAGGGCATCAAAACACTGAATTACATTTTTAAAATTGTTATGTAATATAAAGCTTAAACTAAATAATCCTATAATGCTAAACATTTTAGCAGAAACATCTACCTAATATAGCTACTAGACCACAGTTGCACTCCTACCTACCCCACCCTTCCATGCAAAAGTTCACAGACCCTTACATGGCATTAAATGTCTCTTCCCCTTTCAAGCTTCTGTTTCTATGGTGTGATGACCTATTGTCAATAGAAAAGAAAGCATCAGAAAATCTGTCAACTTAAATTTCAGAAAGTAAACACTGCAGCCCGTGAATAAGCTTATCAATTTTCATGTTTCGTGTTCAACATTTTACACAGTTAGGAGTTATTTTCACTCTCATGAAATGTAGGAACAACACTGAAGAATTTAGGTCAAATATACCATGATACATCCAAAATTTTTAAATTCTTTCTCTTTTGCAAAAGCACAAATGGAATAAAACACTTTAATTCTGCCTTACCTCCCCCTCCCCTAAAAACACTTTCACGCTTAAACAAGAAAGAAATCACAGACTAGAGCAAGAGAAAGGAACGTTGCCCAGGGAGGCTGCATGTCCCTGTCAAAGGCACCCACATCGGCTTTTAAAAGTGTCTCGGGCACTGAGGAGCTTGTGACCTTTGACAGATGGCTTCTGGTGAATCTGATTGCAGCCCCAGAAAATACTGTTTCCTTCTTTCTCTGCTTCTTAATTGTGCCACGAGCAGCAGAAGGGGTGCTGCTCAAGTTCACAGCCCAGCCTGTTAGTAGAGTCTCGCTCCGTGGGTGGTTTATGCTGACCTGCTGAGCTAAGGTGCGTGTCGCCGTCCGCTTTTACTGGTTGGGGCCAGTCACCTCCATCAGAAAGCAGTAGAAATGGGGTTCCAGTATTTCAAACCCTTGCACCTAAATCTGTCAGAAGCTGTGGGAGAACCCTACCCCTGACTCGGCTGGACAAGACAGAGCATGAAGCAGCATATTTAGCAATGCTTAAGCTCATTAGTCTAAATCACTTTTAACAATGAGACATACTCCTAAACTCCTTTTAAGTCCTTTTGAAAATGCAATCCCATGCAGCCTTCTGGAAAGCCCTGATGGGAGTAGCTGCCAAAGCTGAATTTAGGATCTGTGGCTCCAAACGGACCACAGGAGCCTCTTTCTTTTTCTTTTCCATTTTTTTTTTTTTTTTTTTTTTTTTAATCCTCTGAGAAACTGACTTTCAGGAAATGATATGTCATCTGGGTGGCTAAGTCAGAGTGCAGTTGTCACTGATTTTATTTCTTCGTGAAGTATCTGGTAAAAATGTTAGTAAAAGGAGACTGAATAATGAGGTATGTATTTCAATGAGTTGGTGTCTAGCAGGAAAAAAAAACTTACTTAGAAAACACAGTCTAGCAAGTAGTGCCTAAAATTTGCCCCTTGCCTCCCAGAGCTTTGTGCAAGAACCTCTTCTCTTGAAATGTACCTTGTCTTCAAATCCTCCCACAGGGAAAACCCGTCTTCAAATAAATCTTCCTCTTTCTATTATTCTGGAAGTTGTCTAAGTCTTTGTTTATAAACCCAAACCCTCCTTTTCATCTTACCACAGCTTTAAACGCATCTTACATCTTTCTTGTACCCTCTGAACAGCATCTGGAAGCTGCTGGTTGCGCTCCTGCAGTTACTGTTGTTAACTTTGAGCCGCTCTGCAGTGCCTGCCTTGTCATTCAGGATTGTGCGGCCTAGACCGGTGCAACAGGAATGGCAGTTTTGATGAAATACTCTCAGCAGATGGAATCTGCCTTGCTCAAGAGGGTGGAAAATAAGTGTTAGCAACCTCCTTATACTCTGCCTTTTGTGCCAGTGCTATAGCTGTGCCATTGGCCTGCCCCTTGTACCTGAGCTTGCATGAATGTGCCTTTTCAAGAAAATTTTGTAGATGTGTTCCTCAGTGCTCACACTGGGGAATACTCCTCTCCCTGTATGAAATGTTTATTGGAATTGTTTTATGCTGCTGCTGCCTTACTCCCCTTGTGCAGGGGCTGAAACAGAAGTGAGAGCCCTGGCTGCAGGACTGGCCTAACATAACAGAAAGATAGTAAAAGCCAGCATTAACTGCCTCTGGCTGTAGCATCTCTCCAGGGATTGTCCCCTTTTGTCAGCTGCTGATACCAGCAGGAAGCATGATTCCAGACAATAATCCAGTGTGATTTTGAGTTCATTTATTCTGGCTATTAGGAGATCGTTAAGTCAAAGTGATCAGGGAAAGCACGCTGAGATTTGGAGAGCAGAGGTATGAAGGAATCGGAGATGTTGCGTTTTTATTGAGGTACAAATTGCTTTTAAAATACCTGGAGTGTCACAACTGATACCGTGTCTTTGGCACAGCACTGCTTTTGCCTTGCACGTTTGATTTTATGAATTAAGATTATGTGTCTTGAGTAAGGAAAAAAAAAAAAAAGCCTTGGTAAAACTTTTCAAAATTTAATTTTAATTAGCTTATCTATCAAGTGTACTTCTAACAATAGTAAGTGGGCCTTTTCCTGTGAAGGAATAACTAATGTAGACTTGTCAATTAAGTACAAAGATCTTTGGTTTAACATTGCTAAATGAAATTAAGAGCTGTACCTACAAAGTATAAGTCAACAGCACCACTGGGAGTGGTATATCACTAAGCCATAAAAGACTTATTGACATTATTTGTAATACTTTGGGGTATCAAAATTATTAAATTGTTTGAATCCTTTTCCAACAGATGGCAGCACTTCAGAAAATAGCATAATATTAAAAAAAATCTTTTTGCTTTCAAAGGAAAATGCTGGTTCCTTTGTTACAGCTACTTAAATAAAGCCTTATCTTGCATCCCTGCCATATATTCAGTCCCTTGGAGCTGATGGAACTGTGCCTATTTCCTTCACTCTCAAAAAAAGAAAGATGCATGTCAGAAATAGGGTTTGTTTGGTGGACCGAAATTAATAGTATCATAGGTGCTTGAAGTACTAGAAAGTGCATTTTTTTCTTTTCCTCAGCTTTTTTCTAGACCAGATAAATAAAAGAAGACGTTATTTATTGCATTTTTTTTTTCTTTTGGGAAGTAGATATTTAATAAAAGGAAAACTGAACAAAGGATTCCTGTTAGTAGATGTAATCTGAATTTATATGGTAAACGTGGGCTAAAACAGGTGAGTTAAATGGGTTGTGAGTTTCTGGGTTTTGGGGTTTTTCAATACATGTTTTCATTTGTAATTTTGAAGATGACAGTTACATATGGGGAGCATTTTATCTTCTGGAGTTCTGTAGTTCAGTTTTAACAGTGACGAAAATACTTGGAGGTGACAAGATCCCGTTAGTATGAAAAACTTATATGCAATTGAAATCTCATTTCTATACAGGGAGGGATAAGAGAGTGCTGTATTTTAATGCCAAAAACTGTTGTACTACTTTTGGTTGCCAGCTCCCTTTGGGATTGAATTTCATTAATGGGATATGTATCTCTATATATGGAGACATAAAAGTGAAGTGGGAGTTACAAGATATTTCAGTAGCACTACAGTTACAGAATTTTTCCAAGTCTTTTTCGGGCTTTACAGTTTCATGCATATATGTCCAGTATCTATCTGCCTTGGTTGGTTTTTCTGGGTTCTAAACATAGACATTTGCTGATCTCATCTGAAGCTAAAGGGACGAGTCCTTCATGTGAAACAGATTAACATGATCATAGATCTACAGAATCTGGAAAAATTAGTTGCATGCTGCATCTATTTTATATAAGCAGCTGTTGCATGAAGATTATTAATAATAGTGTTTGGATGGGGGGCCATGTATTTTAATGGCGCATTATAGTGTAAAAACTTTCTCTCATTCCTCTGAGGAATCAAACTAATACCAGAGTAAAGTCAAAGTTAGCAGTTCAGGGAAGGGAGGGCTTGGAAAATTTTGATAATGTAAAGAGAGATGTCATACCGATTTGTATTTAAGTTTAGATCTAAAATAGGAGAAAGCGGTTGCTTGTCAAATGATAAGAAGGCACTGTCTTCCTTGGTTGGGAGCAGTATGGTATGAGAGACGGAGCTGATCTGAGAAAAAACTGTAATCACACAAGGAGGGAGAATGGTGGGAGGGCCATAGTACTTCTGCTCTTGGATACGGAGGCAAAGAAATTTGGCTGAGCTGCTTAAGATGATAGTGTATTCTGACATGTGATCTGGCAAGCCTGTATGATTCTGGGGAGAAGCCAAGTTTAGTAAAAAAATTTCTGTTTTCAGTGGAAAGTGCACACTCTGAACTACAGTGCATTGTTTCTGAGCCACAGTGTTTTGACTTAAATCTCTCTGATTGCATTATTCCCTACAGCTCTAAGAACAATTTTGTTAGGAGCTGGGAGTGCCCTGGGGAGCTGCCTTTGCTTTGGTGGCCTCTGCTTTGCAAGAGAGAGATTGTTGAGCAGTTTTTGTTTGCTCTGTGTCCTGCTTTCTCCCCAGGCTATAGCAAGCCAGGCCGAGGAAGAGTGGGGCTTGTTTGGCTTTTGCTTGCTTTCAGGAGTGCATGAAAAAAAGTTTTCTCCCTTTCCCAGTGTAGTCAAGCAGGAGAAGAAAAGGACAATAGGGCTGATTCTGGTCCAGTGCAAGTAGAGGCAATATTTAAATTACATCAAATGGTAATTGCCATAGATAAAGAAATCAAAATAGCTCATACCCTGGAAAGCTTATATTTCAACAGCTCTAATCAAAGTATCTGTGTATCTACTGAATACGTACTATGTACTCTGCTGACAAACATACAGCATGAAACAAGATGAAAAAAGGCCATTTATTTATACTCGCTCTCAATAGGAGGCACTGTCGCTTTGCATTAAGGTATCTAAAATGATCCCTTTCAAACTGAAACAATTAAAAAAATACTTGTGAAAAAAATGGGTTTTCTACTGGGTCAGGCCCAGCTACCCGAAGTTATTTGCCTTTTTTCCCCATGATGATTCCTGTGTGTAATGAGACACTGTTGCATTAACAGCTCTGTTAACTCAGTTATAATATTGGGGAAATCAGGGTTTAAGATTAGATTAAAAGTTCTTGAGGCTTCTCAGATAACATATATGAATCCCTGGGCTTTCTGTGGACTGTGTTATTAGAGACAATGAATCTGAAAACACTGGAAAACGTGTCAAGAAAACCAGAATGGTTAAAAGAAAAAAGGAAGGAAGTAGTATCTGCCCATAGCCCCAGTTGTTGTAAAGAATTAACATTTGGGAGACATGTACTGAGCCACTGTCACTGCCTCTGAGGTGAAATGTGGCAGTTCTCTGACAGTGCGGAGAGAGGCTTCCCAACAGCTCAGGACAATAATAACATCTGCAGTTAATAACACTCCTCCCTGCGGTGGGTGTGTGGAGAAATCTGTCATGGTGGCAGAGGACAACTGGACTGTGTCCCCCAGTGCTGGGCGGGAGCAGCGACTTACCGCTGGACGCCAAGGAAACGCGCCGGTGGTGCTTCATCCTGGTGGGTGGCAGGGCACGCTTCGATGTCGCGTAATTAGGTTACAGTCCCCGCGTGGGCTGGCTTTTGCTGGCCTGCGTTGCCCCACCCAAATGTGAGGCATCCAGAAGGAGTTTGAGACCCCTCCCAGGTGTTTGCTGAAAGCCGAGCGTGCTGCCAGGGTGTCTCTGGGGCTTGCTCTGCTTCTGACCTCGGTGGTGGTCGGCGTTGCCTGCAGGGTTAAAGGGTGGAAATGTAGAAGAGGTAAGGGAGCGGGAAGAGTGCCGAGGCAGTGCTGTGTGCAGTTTGCCCGTCTTGGAGGCTGACAAAATGAGATACAGTCAGAAGAAAAGCAGCCTGTGGACAAATCAAGTGGTGCTTTTGCTGATCTGTCTTGGTTCAGCTCCTGGGAATTTTATTTACAAACAGGATTTAGGCAGTCAGTGACTTCTGAAGTACTCTCAGTTTGTGAAGGAGGGCCCTTGCGCTTCAGTTTTTACCTCAGTTCTGTGCTCAGGGTGTTGCTTTCACTGCAGCAGTGTTACTTTAAACTAAAGTCACTAAAAGTAAAAGTAATAAAATAACAATCAGTGCGTCACCAGCTAGACCTTACAAGAATTAGAAGGCCTATAAAGCAGCTAGGTTTCTGCATCTAAGGTCTTTTATAGTATTATCTTCTGATGACTAATAAGCCATGGGTAGAGATCAGCCAACAGAATCCAGGACTGACAGACATCAGTGGTGTTCACATGTAATTTTGGTGTCGGCCGTTCCACTTTGACTGAGCAAATTTGCCGAGTTCGATAAAGAAAGAAATCCAGTACTTGCAGTCAAATTTCCATGGTTTAAGCTCGCTGTTGGCAGGGCTCATGTGAGATCCAGCAATGATCACAGAAAATCTTTGAAAAAGATTTCTTCATGAACTGTCATTTCTGGCTTTGCAGTTAATCATAAAAGAAAGGCATTGGTCTGGAACGAAGTTGATGAACTAAGAAGTAAAGCTATGGATAAGATTTTATCTCTGCATATTTTTGTTACTGCTAAAATGAATTAAATACAAGAATCGCTTAACGG